CATTTTGCAAAATGATGAAAAAACTTTATGCAGCAGAAACTTTCTGTTAAGACACACTCAATCTTCAGCTCAATTATCTGGGTGACTTGTTGACTACTGCAGAGTTGACTTTTGACTTTATCTTTGACTTCATCAAATCAATGACATCTTTTGGTAGCATCACTTTCAGTATATGACTTTAGATAGCGGTTATTTGGCCAACCGCTATCTAAACTACTACATTAGAAAGCGGTTAAAGCCAACCGCTATGTAATATATATTTTTAAAAGCGGTTGTTATCAACCGCTATCTAAGGTGATTCGGTCATTACTCGCTCAAGCGACAAAGTCACCGCTTGAGCGATGAAGCCTTCAAACAAGGGGGACTCTCGGGTTCTGTTTCGCTCGAGCGAGAAACCATCGCTTGAGCGAGAAAACCTGCAACTATTTACAATGCTGAGTCACCCACCGAAGTCAGGATTCCCATGTCTTGGCCAAAGCATTGGATTCCAATCTTGGATTCCAATCTTGGCCAAAGCATTGGATTCCAATCTTGGCCAAAGCATTGGATTCCAATGTTGGATTCCCTGCATTGGGTTAGACAAAAAAGCAGAAACCATGTGAGGGAGCATTGGATTCCAATGTTAGACAAAATCTTGGATTCCAGTCTTGGATTCCCTGCATTGGGTTAGACAAAAAAGCAGAAACCATGTGAGGGAGCATTGGATTCCAATGTTAGACAAAATCTTGGATTCCAATCTTGGATTCCCTGCATTGGGTTAGCCAAAAAAGCAGAAACCATGTGACTTCATTATAAATAGACTACTTTCATTCTTTGAAGTTCTCACATTGCACACTCCTAAATCTCTGAAGCTATTTGCATTATTTCTTCTTCTTACCTTTAGTCTTCTTTGTGTTCCACACTCCTAAAATGGGTGTAGTGTCTACTATTGTCCACTATGATGGTTTCATGAACCCATGTCCCATGGAGGGAGTTACCTTCAATACTGGGACTGCAAAACTTGTTCCTTTAAAGAGAGGAATTTCTCTACAAAGGCTGAAGAAGTTGATCCACAAGAAATTGGAGAAAGAACCCCATGAAAATGTAGCAACCATCCATTTTCGCTGTCCAACTAGACTCGGAGTTGGGATCAACAACTTCATTGCTGTTGAGTTGAAAGATGATGACGACGTGGAGGCCATGTTCGATGTGCATGATTCAAACTCAAGTGTATGTGGTATTGAAATTTTTGTTTCATTTAAAACTTCTTCTTCTTCATACCCCAACACACACTCACCAGAAATTTCACCCTTACCCTACCAAGCTTTGCCATACACTCACCCAGAAATACCCACACATAATGACTACATCCCTTTGACCCAACTTCTAAGTGGCCCTTCCACCAACATCAACGAAGAACTACCCACACAAGAGAACGAAATTGTTGGCCTCCCAATTGAAGTCGTTGATCCTTTTAGTGAGGATGAAGACGAAGATGAAATTCTCAGCCAACACCAAGATGATTCAGAGGACGAACAACCATATATCCCTACACATGCACCAAACTTAATGGAACCATACAACCCACCACAACATTTTCTTAACTTTGAAAATCACATTCAACAACAAGACCCAGAGTATGGTCATGCGTTGGACAGAGAGTCTTTTGTTTCTCCGGCAGGAACTCTATTTCTTGGACAACGTTTCATAACAAAAGAACAAGTTCAAGATGTCATCAACCGTTTTCACATTGTCAATCACTGCACATACAAGGTGAAAATTTCAAACCAAAGTAGATATGTTGTTGAATGTGGTGATAACCAATGCAATTGGAGATGTCGAGCAATATTGCGTACGAGAGAGCAATATTGGGAGATTATGAAGCTTGAAGGGCACCATACATGCGTTTCGCCATTAATCAGCCAAGATCACAACAAGTTGGGATATAAAATGATTTCCCAAAAAATTGGTCAACTAATTGATGCTGATTCGTCAACACCAATATCCACAATCATAGCCCACATCCAATTAACAACGGGTTACACTATAACATATAGGAAGGCCTGGTTGGCAAAACAAAGGGCAGTGGAGATCATTTACGGCAATTGGGAGGAGTCGTATAAGAAGTTGCCTTGTTTGTTACAAGCGATGCAACAATTTGTTCCCGGATTCATCTACAAACTGCAGTCACAACCAGCTTACCAAGGTGAAGTCCTTCAACAAAATTCAAATATTTTTAAACGTGTGTTTTGGGCGTTTAGGTCATGCATAGATGGATTTGTTCACTGCAAGCCCATTGTTCAAGTGGACGGAACTTTTTTGTATGGAAAATATAGAGGTACCTTGTTGGTTGCAGTAGCACAAGATGGCCGCAACAACATCCTCCCCATTGCGTTTGCAGTGGTTGAAGGTGAAACAAGTGATGCCTGGTTTTTTTTCTTAAAAAACCTTCAAAGATATGTCACACCCCAGCAAGGATTATGCCTCATATCAGACCGACATGAATCCATTAGAAGTGCATACATGAGAAATGGAAGCGGATGGACAGAAAATAATTCAACGCATGTCTACTGCATTAGACACATTGCACAGAATTTTATGAGACATTTCAAAAACACCGCACTGAGGAAAGATGTTGTAAATATGGGTAATTCCTTTGCTTCAAATTTGTTTCAATTTATTCATTATATAATTGTTGCTAATAAATATTTATATTAACTATGTTTTTTTAATATTGTTGTAGCGTATGGGATGACTGAACCACGATTCTACTATTATTACAACATCTTGAGGCAATGTGACATACAAGCAGCTAATTGGTTGGATGAGATACCTAGAGAAAAATGGGCACTTGCATGGGACAATGGGCGACGTTGGGGCCACATGACGACCAATATAGCAGAGTCTATCAACTCTGTTTTGAAAAAAACAAGAAATCTACCTATTTGCTCCATGGTCACCGCAACGTACACCCGTTGCAACAAATTTTTCATTGAAAGAGGGAGGCAGATAGATGCCCTCATCAATGCTGGTCATGTATACTCTGAAATTTTGGCCAAGAATTTAGAGGAAGCACAAACACAGGCAAACACGCACAGGGTCATAACGTTTGACAGGTCTACCACAAAATTTGTAGTAGAAGAAACACAAAACCCGCGTGAAGTTCGACCAGCAGGGAAGTTTGCAGTTCACCTTGATGAGTTATGGTGTGACTGTGGGAAATTCCAAAAATTTCACATGCCTTGTTCACATGTTCTTGCTGCATGCAAGCATGCACACCATGACTTCAACAACTATATTAATTCAGTGTATACCTTACAACAAGTTTCAAAGGTATACGGAACACAATTTAGGTTATTGCGAAATGAAGAATATTGGCCAACATACACAGGACCTACTTTGTGTGCAAATCCAGAAATGAAAAGAACTTCAAAGGGCCGACCGAAATCAAGTCGTATAAGAACTGAGATGGACATTACAGAACATCAAAGTAGGATTAAAAAATGTTCATATTGTCATACCCCTGGTCATAGCAGAAGAACATGTCCCAATATTGCATGTGCATCTACTTCGCATCATTAGATTGTGTTAGTTAAGAAATGTCTCAATGTATGAAACTTAGGAGTTTTTCAATTAATTGAAAATGATGAAGATCTTATTGAATCATTTGATATAACGAAGATCTTATTCAATGTATGTTTAAAAAGTTCAAGCAAACTGATTTTAAAGAGTATTTTCATAACTGCTGCATTAATTAATCTGTTGAAAGTTTGTTTTAATCTGTTGAAATAGTCGTTTCAATCTGTTAAAAGTCCTTTCAATCCATTGATACGTTCTTGATTCTTTAACAGATTTGTTTTAGCTGATACTACAACGGTTATATCAATTAAAACACTTTACAAAACTTTTCTAAGTTTGATTCAATCGATTGTTTCGTGTTTTAATCGATTGATATACTGCAAAACTTTCTTATAAAAACTTTCCAAGTTATTTTAGCTGATAAAAAGAAGTTTTAATCGATTAAAACTTTGTACAAACTTTTTCGAAGTTTTATTAATCGGTTGAAACGCGTTTTAATCGATTGAAACTCTGTACAAAATTTTTCCAAGTTATTTTAATCGATTGAAATACGTTATAATCGATTGAAACAGATTTCAATCACTTTGTCGCTCGAGCGAAAGTCCGCGTCGCTCGAGCGAAAGCAACCCGAGAGTCCCCCTTGTTTCCAGGTGTCCTCGCTCAAGCGGTGTGATTTTCGCTTGAGTCACTTTAGATAGCGGTTATTTGGCCAACCGCTATCTAAACTACTATATTAGATAGCGGTTGGGTAAATAACCGCTATCTAATGCAGTAGTTTAGATAGCGGTTGGCCAAATAACCGCTATCTAAAGTCATATATGTCAAAGTGATCGACTATAATGGGATAATAGTCGATCATACTTTTCGCTCAAGCGAGAAAACCTTCGCTTGAGCGAGAATTTACCCCAGACTACCCCTTTGTTACAGGTTTCCTCGCTCAAGCGAAGGTTTTCTTCGCTTGAGCGAGAGTTCAATCCACGAAATAATATTATTTTAATACGATGAACGATGAACAAGTTGCGCGAAATAATATTATTTTATTAAGTGAACAGTAAACAGTGCTAGTTGTGTAAATAAAGTTGCAGAGGTACTATTTGAGTAAATATTTTTTAAAACAGTATTATTTATGAAAAAAAGTCGTGGCTCGCGCTCCCCGGCCCCTTGTGAACACGCTTTCGAGACTATAAAAATTATTTATCAGTTCAGCAATAACGGGATTTTATGCGAGTATAGATATCTGAATAATTTAGCTCGTCTTTCAATCTATATTTTATCATCACATTAAGATCTAAAATTAAAAAAGTTATCACGTGTTTCGTATTTGCTTATATAATAAGTTGTAACTAGAAGTAGAAGGTAGTGGCGCTTAAGAACAGAGCATTTATCTTCGTTTTGTATCATTGCTTTCTCTTCTTACAATTCAACCCCTGATCAGTTCCTTCATGGAATTCGCGTCTTCTTCATTCGATGTGCTCATCAACTTTACCGGCGAAGACATCCGTAGGAAGTTCGTTTCTCATCTCGATTCTGCCCTCTCAGCTGCTGGATTGACCACTTTCCTTCACGGGGAGAATCTAGTCAAATCCATACAGCTACAAGATCTAACACAACCAAAAGAATTGTGTCGGGTAGCGATAGTTGTTTTCACCGAAACCTATGCTGAATCTGCTTGGTGTCTTCATGAGCTTCAACAAATCATTAGATGGCATGAAACTTATTGCCGGCATGTTCTGCCCGTATTTTACGGAATTAAGCCTTCTGATGTACGTCTTCAGAAAGGTGATTTTGGAAAATCCTTGAAAGAAACTGCACAAGAAACATTTTCAGAGCAACAAGTGGAACATGCCTTATCCAGGTGGAGCAGCGCACTCACCAAAGCAGCAAATTTCTTTGGATGGGATGAGAGCAATTACAGGTAAATCACTCACTCAATAAATCTTATTTAAGCTTGTGATTTCATTTTGGTAATACATGACTTGTTCTATAATTCCAATTGAATATGAAGGAGTGATGCTGAACTAGTGAACAAAATTGTTAAGAGCGTTCTTAATTTACCAATCTTGACTGCTACCAAATTTCCAGTTGGCTTACAGTCCCATGTGGAAAAACTGATTCGATATATTAAAAATACACAAGTCACTACTATAATAGGGATATGGGGAATGAGAGGAGTGGGTAAAGCCACCGTTGCCAAAGCCGTCTACAACCAAATTCATGGTACATTCATGTATAAAAGTTTCATTGAAGATGTTGCCGAAATTTGCGAAAGAGGGCATGTTCATCTGCAAAAACAACTTCTTTCAGATGTCCTAAAAACAAAGGTGGAGGTAAATAGTGTTGAGAAGGGAGCAAGTATGCTTTCTTGGAAAAGGATGCTCATTGTACTTAATGGTGCGAATCAACTTCGCCCATTGAATGACCTGTTTAGAAATCGTGAATGGTTTGGTCAAGGAACTGTGATAATCATTACAACTAGAGATCTACGCCTTCTTAGAAGACTTAAAGCTGATTATGTTTACGAAATGCAGGAAATGAATGAAAACGAGTCCCTTGAGCTTTTTAGTTGGCATGCTTTTAAAGAAGAAAAACCAATAGCAGAATTCGATGAACTTGCAAGAAATGTAGTTGCTTATTGTGAAGGACTACCCCTAGCTCTTGAGGTCCTTGGATCTTATTTAAGTGGGAAGACCAACACAGAGTGGAAAAGTGTATTGTCAAAACTAAAACTAATTCCCAATGATCAAGTTGAGGAGAAATTGAGAATAAGTTTTGACGGTTTACGCGATGACATGAAAAAGGATATATTTCTTGATTTATGTTGTTTCTTTATTGGTAAAGACAGATACTATGTTACAGAGATACTAAATGGCTGTGGACTACATGCTGATATTGGAATAACAGTTCTCATAGAGCGTAGTCTCATAAAAGTTGATAAGAACAACAAACTAAGAATGCATCCTTTGCTGCAAGACATGGGTAGAGAGATTATTCTTAGAAGTTCAACTACGGAACGTGAGAAGCGCAACCGACAGTTTGCTGATGATGTAAAATGTGTAGTGACAAAGAATAATGTAAGAAATATTATTTTTATATGGTTTTGAAACTGTTCTCTTTTTAATGTGCATTACATGTATAGCTATGTTGAACTGTTTTTAAATTTATCTTGTTTGCACTTTTCGTCACAGGGAACAGAAGCTATTGAAGGATTGGCTCTGAAGTCACCATTATCAGTCGGATCTAGGTTGAAAATTTTTGCTTTGCAGAAAAAACCGATATTGAGACTGTCGGATATTGACTCTCTACTACTGAGTAGAGACTATCCGAACCTTTCTAAGCAACTGAGATGGATCTTTCTTCTAGGGTTTCCTTTAAAATTTATTCATAAAAACTGTGATATGGAAGGTGTAATTGCGATTCATTTCAAATGCAGTAATCTTAGACGACTCTGGAACGAACCACCGGTATACATTACGTGCCTTTTTTCTTCTGAAACTCATAGGTTAATTAAATTAGAAATACTAGATTACATTTTTTGTTCTTCTTTAATCCTTTTCAAAACACCATCTTCTTGTAGGTTTTAGGGTGGCTAAAGTTCCTCAATCTAAGCCACTCCAAGTACTTGACAGAAACATCTGACTTTTCAGGACTACCAAGTCTTGAAAAGCTCATTCTCAAAGATTGTCCAAGTTTGTGCAAGGTACACCAATCCATAGGAGATCTCTGCAATCTACTACTCATGAATTTGAAGGACTGTATAAGTCTTAGCAATCTCCCCAAAGAGGTATATAAGTTGAAATCTTTAAAAACTCTCATCCTTTCTGGTTGTTCCAAGATTGAAATTTTGGAAGAAGATATAATGCAGATGGAATCCTTGATAACACTAATTGCTGAAAATAAAGCAGTGAAACAAGTGCCCTTCTCAATTGTAAGCTCAAAATGCATTGGATATATATCCTTACGTGGATTTGAAGGATTGTCACACAATATTTTTCCTTCTATCATTCGGTCTTGGATGTCACCAACAATGAATCCCCTATCTTATATTAGTCCGTTTTGCATGGATATGGAGCATAATAATTTGGGAGACCTTGTGCCATTGTTTAGCAACCTTGCAAATCTTCGAAGTATTTCTGTTCAATGTGACGCGGAGCTTCAACTATCTAAGCAAGTAAAAACAATTCTTGTCGATTACAGAGTAAATTTTACAGAATTAAGGATTTCAAAGCATCACTTGAGGTTTTCTTTGATTGCTGTTGGACGATGCAATGAATTCTTCTACTCTCTCAATGATAGCATATATAAGGTTCCTTCTCTAGCTTTTACCTTTCTGTACTTAACTTCACTATTTATTTTATCTATTAAAAGAACATGGAAAGTATCTAAAAGGAATTGATAGTTGCATTGCTTCATTTTAAAGTATCTGATTTTACTAATCATGCTACAGTATATTCATGGTTGTTAGATTCTGTTCGTAATTTGAAGAATAGAATAAAGAGAATTGTTGGTTAGGGAAGGGTGAGTTTAGGATTATTGTTGAATAGATGGGAAATATCAGAAGATTGACATGCAGAAAGTTTATAGAAAAGTTTAGAAGTTAGATTGATTTGATGGAACAACTCTTTTATTAGAATGAAGGCTACTGCTTCTATTCATGGTTTACATTGTGTGGTGATTGTATTTAGGGTAGAACAACTGATTCATAACCTATTATATAATATAATAATGATTATAACATTACATTATTATATTATACAATAGATTGTGAACGGGTTATATGGTAAATAATCGATTATTTTAATATTTTCTTTATTTTATGACTTTTTTATTACATATTTTAGAGGTCTAAATAAAATTCCAGAATTATCATGGCATTTCTAGAGCAAAGTCGCCGTGAAAATTCGTAGCACTTTCAACATATTTCCATCGTTCATAATGGAAATATAAGTTGAAAGACCTGTAATACAACAGACATGGATTCTGAATTGTTGATGATCTGCTATTGATATATATGCACAACAAAACTATTAACAATTTGGTTAAGTTTCATTAGAGTAGTAATTGTAATTTGATTAAAAAGCATAGAAATATAATTTAAAATGCCCATTTTGTAATTTGGAATGATATAATATGGATTGTATGTGATCATTTGAATAGCAAAATTATGTACATGCCTAAGCCTTTTTATGTCATGGGACAGGCATTCTCAAGGAGTGAATCTTGTGATCTTTGTCTGCCAGGTGACAACCACCCTTATTGGTTAGCCCATGGGAGTGAGGGAAATTCAATTTATTTCACTATGCCTCAGGACTGTGACGTAAAAGGAATGGCTTTGTCTGTTGTTTATTTGTCAACCCCTGAGACCATGGCAACTGAAAGTCTTACAAGTGTCTTAATTGTTAACTACACAAAGTGCACATTCCAGATACATAAGCATGGTACAGGAATTTCCTTCAATGATAAAGATTGGGAGGGCATAATATCAAATTTAGGTTCTGGAGACAAGGTGGAGATTTTTGTGACTCTGCCTCATGGATTGGTGGCTAAGAACACAGCTGTGTATCTGATATATGGTGTACCAGTGAAACAAGTGATATATGGAGAAAACAAATGCCCTACATATATATATTCATGAAAATAATTTTAACGTGTGACTTCAAGTATGTTATAGCTCTTCTATAACAGAAAAGGATCGCTTGAGTGATGGAATTAAATCCTAGTGTCCGTGATTACTATGTATTTCTTTCAATTGTGCCCTTGTTTTCTGCATAGTAGTAGTTTATATTAAGAAATTCATATTTATTTTACCCAATTTCTCCCTCCTCAGATTATGCCTTCTTTGATGTCCTTCATTTGTTTGTCATAATTCCTTTAGTTCTTACTTTTGTGATTTTTTCCCCTTCTTTTTAAATGATCAATATGTATATATCAAGCAATAAACACAATCGATTTTCCGTATTTTTCTTAAATGTGCTTCGCATTGTTGTTTATTATTTGGTTCAACGTAACATATGTGCTTTATTATTAGATCCTCTTCCCTTTATTTGATTTGAGTGCAATATATTTTAATATATTTTTGGTTATTCATGCTCACTCTCATTGTTTTTGTGTGTAACAATAATAATAAAATCATTTTTCTCATTATATTTTTTTTAAATATGATAAAACAAAACGTACCTAAAATTAATATACTAGTTTGGAAACATAAATTAGCTCTAAAAAGAAAATTGATTAGAGTTTTTAGAAGTATTTTCCTAAATGGGTATCAACTTATTTTAAAAGTCGATCTTCTTATTATAATTACATCAACTAATGAATATGTTATATGATATTATTAAAATATTAGATAACAATATATTTACAGATTATGTACTTTAAAATGACAACCTATATAATGTTTGAAGGTAATGAAAATTTTTAAAGTAGTTTCTCAATAATTTATAAAAAAAATTAAGTACGATGAATGCTATTTCTTTGTTCAAAATACTTTTTATATAAAGTTTTGGTCTTCGTTTGATTTACATTATAGGGCAAGTAGCACATATTTATTTCCCTTTTTACATAGACACACTACTATAAAATATACTTTCTACGTCGTTATTTAACGTCGGTTATAGCTGAGACGACGTAGAAAGTACTTTCCACGTCGGTTCTCAGATGAACCGACGTTGAAATTGAATATTAAACACATTCTACGTCGGTTCTTAGTCAACCGACGTAGAAAATACTTTCTACGTCGGTTCCCATATGAACCGACGTTGAAAGTCTTTTTTTATTATTTATTTTCAGCCAAAAACTCACACTTTAGATAGCGGTTATAAGGGAACCGCTATCTAAAGTGCATATTAGATAGCGGTTATAAGGGAACCGCTATCTAATATACACTTTAGATAGCTGTTCCCTTATAACCGCTATCTAATATGCACTTTAGATAGCGGTTCCCTTATAACCGCTATCTAATATACACTTTAGATAGCGATTATAAGGGAACCGCTATTATATCCTCTCAATTATGATCGATCATTTCAAGTTATGATCGATCAGAATCTAATTTCGCTCGAGCGAGGGTAGTGTCGCTCAAGCGAAATACAACCCGAGAATGCTAATTTTGTGCAGGGCGTTTCGCTCGAGCGAGAAGGGTGTCGCTCAAGCGAGATACATTTTAGATAGCGGTTAACCTGGAACCGCTATTATATTGTTTCAATTATGATCGATCGAAAGCAGCTTATGACCGGTCGAACTATTTTAATCGATTAAATCTCATTTCAATCGATTAAAACAATTTCACGACAGCGTTTTAATCGATTAAAACTTATTTTTATCAGCTTAAAATTACTTGAAAAGTGTCACGAGAAAGTTTTGCAAGTATTTCAATCGATTGAATCGCGAAACAATCGATTAAATCAACTTAGAAGATTTTTTGTAAAGTGTTTTAATTGATATAAACGTTGTCGTATCGCTTAAAACAAATCTGTTAAAGAATCAAGAACGTATTAATGGATTAAAAGAAGTTTTAACAGATTAAAACCGCACTTTTAACGATTAAAAGAATCTTTTAACAGATTAATTAAACCAAGAGCTTTGAAAATCTTCTATAAAAACAAGTTTGGCTTGAACTTTTTTAACATACATTGAATATATCATCTTTTACACATCCTTGAGCAATCAATCAATCGCTAATTGCGATCGAATTAAAGTGGGGGTTGGCTCGAGGTTAGAGTTCGACGTCACTAGGGTATGCGTTAGGGTTCGAGCTCCGCTGGGTTTGCGTTGGGTTTCACAAGCATGACAATTGGGTTTGGCTTGACATTGGGGTTCGATGTCGCCAGAGTTGGGGTTCGGCCTCGAGTTCGTCGAGGTTGAGGTCGGGGTTGAGATTCGAAGTTACTATTTGACATTTTTCTAGTAGTGATATTTACACGGATATATATTTATTTGTATATAAATATAATTTATTTGTAAGTTATTATAAAAAAATTCAAGTAGTTTAGTGGTTGGAGTATCAGCCTCCAACTCTAAAGTACTGGGTTCGAATCCTGCCAATGACAATTCTCTTAAAAATTAAAAAACTTCTAAAAAATATAATATAAAGAGATGGAGGACCTAATAAAAATATAATATGAAGAGAGGGGAGACTTCTAGATAAATAAAAGGGGTAAAGGGGTTGTAAATAAATAAAAATTATTATACACTTTAGATAGCGGTTATAAGGGAACCGCTATCTAAAGTAAAACTTTAACGTCGGTTTATTAGAACCGACGTTGAAAGCTTTATTTGTAGTAGTGACATGGACAGCAGATAAAAATATTTCCTTTCACATATCTTTTATAAAAAATCTTGATTTACTTAGATATATTCTTCATCTTCGTTTGTAAACCATTTATATTTTCTTGATTTCTCTCTCTGCGTGTGGCAAGTCTCAATTTTTGCTTATTCTTTTTAATGCACATAGTAAAATAATATATATTTTAATTCTAGAATATATTTTGAATTTTGACGGTTCCACGTATATTTCTCCATATTACAAGATTTATTTTTCATGTATGTAAGTATGTAATCGATGTATATTGAAAAATCATTTATATTGAATGGTCAATGTAAGTGATGTGTAGTTGGTCAATATTTTATTAGAGGCATTATTAATCGTTAACTTGTTGCCTTGTAGTTAGTCAACACTTGAACTTGTTGTAATCATGATTCTTCATTGAAATAGGTTTCTTCAAACATCCTGTCAGAACACACACATGTGACACTTAGTTTGGTCTACCCTTATCAAACAATTTGATGACTTGTATAAGGTCATATAGAATCTTCATATATAAACTCTATATCCATGTTAAAGCATTTGTGGATGACATTGATTAGTTGGTCTAGCGTGGTGATGTGTCCATTAACTTGTCTTATGTTCATTAGATGATGTATTAGGTTATTGATTGACTAATTATTTTTACAATATATTTTTTTTTATGTAACATGCTTAACACATATAATTTATTTTAAAACTTAATCATATTTATTATCATCAAAATCAAGAGTTTGATATTTCTTTCCAACATATAGTATAAGTGAATTAACTAGAAATCCAATGAACATTTTAATAGATTAAAAAGAAATTTAATTAATTAAATTTTTGCAAGATATAGCTTAACCAAGGCCTCGCAAAATGATTTTTCTACATTGTTATTACAAAATTTAGGAAAGAAAGATCACTTGTAACACATGAAATTCAAAATTACAACCTTACACAAAAATCCAACACAAAATCTTTTGATGTCATCATCGGGGTTGAAAACTTCAATATATAAGAACCATACTTCAAGTTTCACACCTTTCATTGTACTTGGAAACATGAGAACTATACTTCAAGTTTCAACCGTTTCTATCAACAATTGTGATTGACACGAAACTTTCGAAACATAAAGTGAATTTTGTCAATATTTTTATATATTTTCTATTTTTTTTTTCCTATTTTTTATAATTGTAATTGGATTTTATGACCCACTCTTAACATCTTCATGTTCCTGTTTCTTTTTTTTTTTCTTTTTTCTTTTTCCTGTGGGTTTATACTACTCCAAATTTATACGAGGAAACATAATAAATAAATTTTATCCATATAAAAAAAAAGAAAATGAAATAAATAAAAGAGATGTGAAATTATATGTTAACTCTATAGTTTGAAGATTTGAACAGAGCTTTATTTTATAATGGACTGTTAGCTAATCCAAGATATGGTCTAATCATAAATAGATCAAGTCACTTAAGGTGTTGTTTGATAGTTGTTAAAATTTTCTCTCTTGGTAAGGGAACCGGATCAATTATAATAATATAACTATGAAAAGGGTTATCTTTCCTCAGGAACTTGTTAGATATCATAAAAATTCAATTTTTATCCAATTAAAACTCTAAACCTTGAAATAATTATGTAAAACGGATTGATGATAAAAAATTGTTGTACAAGGAAAACACAATTATGTAAATTGTTGAATTGGATTTCATTCAAACTCCCTCTGCAACCTATTACTTATATAGATGGATGAATTCAAACTTCGGATTAAAGTCCAACAAAACACTCCAAATTAATTTCTTAATACTAGAGTTCTAAGAATATTGAACAATCAATCAATTCCTTAAAAAATTGATTAAGAAGAATCTTGCTTAAACACAAAAACTTTTACACAACAATAATCTCAACCCTGTTCTTAGCGGTTAATATTAGAGATTGATTTGATTAAAGTCAAAAATAGAAATCATTTTCTAATGTAAGTTTATTTCTAAAATGATGAAATTAGATTCCTCTGAATTCAAGCACTAAAAATAGAATCAAATTAAGAACTAAACTAAAGAAGGGAATCCAAACATTAAATTTCTTTGTTACAATTCAATGTCCACTAATTATCAATAATTAATGACATCCCATTTGTCAAAGAACAACAGAATACAAATACAGTTTATCACACAAATAGGATACCAAAAAAAAAACAATGAGTGTTCCAATTTCGAAGTAACTTTCTTTGCTTCATAATGTAACTCTCTAAGTGAGTGTTTTTCCCAATTATTTGTACTAGTCACTACAACTTAATTTTTTATTTCATTTTGAATTAAGTCATGTACAAATAATCAACATGGATCACTATCGTCTTTGAAAATGTTGTAATTTAAAAAGGGTTTCAAGAAAAATTGTTTCTGTAGTTCACAAAGTACATCATAAAAAGAGAGAGTATTTTGTGTATTATTTCCATTTTTGCTACTATGAGGCTCTTTTCTCTTAATAACCTTATTACCCTCGTTTGCAATGTACTACAGAATAGTGATCCCTCCAATTTTTATTTCTTTCCTTTCAACCTCCAAATTAGAATTTATCTTTATGTGTGATAATTCTAATTTTTATTTCTTTCCTTTCAACGTCAAACTCATTTTAGCCAAAAGATGTACATATTTTATTTTAATTGTATAAGTTATGAGAATACCATAAATAATTTTTTTTTAGTTCTATATAACTATGAATTATTGTAAAAATATTTGACTTTATTTACGAGGTACCATTCTTTTCTTTTCCTTATTTTTTTCTTTCTCCCTCCCTTTTCATGTTTTATTTTTCAATGTGCTCTAGTTTATGGAGTCAGAAGTAATGTAATGGTCTTAACACTCAGAATCAGGAATTTTAATATATATAAAGTACTTATTATTAGTACGTTCAACGTTACTAATTAAATTTAAATTTTGAAAAATAAAATTTATTTCTTTTCTTTTTTTCTTAAAAATAGTTTTAATTTTTTTTAAACATTTCTAATTTTTTTTTCATATTTTAATATCAAAATAAAATATTATAAAATATTACAATAACTAACTAATTTATTATAAATAAAAAACATTATATCAATATTTCATATTTTGATTCTTTTTATTTTTATTTTAAAATAATTATTGTGAGTTATTTTCTTTATTTTTTACTTATTGTTTTACATATTTAGTGTGAATAGAAGAAATAAACTAAAAAAATTATAAATTTATGCTATAAAAGTAAACCTGTAAAAAAAATTAAAATTAAAGAAAAAAACTTACAAATATTATTTTGTAAGGTGAAATCATGAAAGAGAAAAAAAAATACGAGATTGAATGAATGGTAAAAAAAAGATAGAAATATGAAAATTTAAAATGAATGGGTGATAAAAAAAGTTGAGATGGATAAATAAACAGGTGAGAGAGAAAAAAATAAAGATAGAAAAAAATATACGTAAAAAATTATGTAAGAAAAAAATAATATTTATTATAAGTGAAAAATTAAGAGAAAAAAATAAATTTTGAATTTTATTTATATTTATAAAATACTTTTTATTTAATTATTATATAATAATAATAATAATAAAAATAATAAATTTTTAGTGGGGGCGGTGGCTCGCGCTCCCCGGCCCCTTGTGAACACGCTTCCGAGGCTATAAAAATTATTTATCAGTTCAGCAATAACGGGATTTTATGCGAGTATAGATATCTGAATAATTTAGCTCGTCTTTCAATCTATATTTTATCATCACATTAAGATCTAAAATTAAAAAAGTTATCACGTGTTTCGTATTTGCTTATATAATAAGTTGTAACTAGAAGTAGAAGGTAGTGGCGCTTAAGAAAAGAGCATTTATCTTCGTTTTGTATCATTGCTTTCTCTTCTTACAATTCAACCCCTGATCAGTTCCTTCATGGAATTCGCGTCTTCTTCATTCGATGTGCTCATCAACTTTACCGGCGAAGACATCCGTAGGAAGTTCGTTTCTCATCTCGATTCTGCCCTCTCAGCTGCTGGATTGACCACTTTCCTTCACGGGGAGAATCTAGTCAAATCCATACAGCTACAAGATCTAACACAACCAAAAGAATTGTGTCGGGTAGCGATAGTTGTTTTCACCGAAACCTATGCTGAATCTGCTTGGTGTCTTCATGAGCTTCAACAAATCATTAGATGGCATGAAACTTATTGCCGGCATGTTCTGCCCGTATTTTACGGAATTAAGCCTTCTGATGTACGTCTTCAGAAAGGTGATTTTGGAAAATCCTTGAAAGAAACTGCACAAGAAACATTTTCAGAGCAACAAGTGGAACATGCCTTATCCAGGTGGAGCAGCGCACTCACCAAAGCAGCAAATTTCTTTGGATGGGATGAGAGCAATTACAGGTAAATCACTCACTCAATAAATCTTATTTAAGCTTGTGATTTCATTTTGGTAATACATGACCTGTTCTATAATTCCAATTGAATATGAAGGAGTGATGCTGAACTAGTGAACAAAATTGTTAAGAGCGTTCTTAATTTACCAATCTTGACTGCTACCAAATTTCCAGTTGGATTACAGTCCCCTGTGGAAAAACTGATTCAATATATTACAAATACCCCAGTCACTACTATAATAGGGATATGGGGAATGAGTGGAGTGGGTAAAGCCACCGTTGCCAAAGCCGTCTACAACCAAATTCATGGTAAATTCATGTATAAAAGTTTCATTGAAGATGTTGCCGAAATTTGCGAAAGAGGGCATGTTCATTTCCTAAAACAACTTCTTTCAGATGTCCTAAAAACAAAGGTGGAGGTAAATAGTGTTGAGATGGGAGCAAGTATGCTTTCTTGGGAAAGGATGCTCATTGTACTTAATGGTGCGAATCAACTTCGCCCATTGAATGACCTGTTTAGAAATCGTGAATGGTTTGGTCCAGGAACTGTGATAATCATTACAACTAGAAATGTACGCCTTCTTAGAAGACTTAAGGTTGATTATGTTTATGAAATGCAGGAAATGGATGAAAACGAGTCCCTTGAGCTTTTTAGTTGGCATGCTTTTAGAGAAGTAAAACCAATAGAAGAATTCGATGAACTTGCAAGAAATGTAGTTGCTTATTGTGAAGGACTACCCCTAGCTCTTGAGGTCCTTGGATCTTATTTAAGTGGGAAGACCAACACAGAGTGGAAAACTGTATTGTCAAAACTAGAACTAATTCCCAATGATCAAGTTGAGGAGAAATTGAGAATAAGTTTTGACGGTTTACGCGATGACATGAAAAAGGATATATTTCTTGATTTATGTTGTTTCTTTATTGGTAAAGACAGAGACTATGTTACAGAGATACTAAATGGCTGTGGACTACATGCTGATATTGGAATAACAGTTCTCATAGAGCGTAGTCTCATAAAAGTTGATCAGAACAACAAACTAAGAATGCATCCTTTGCTGCAAGACATGGGTAGAGAGATTATTCTTAGAAGTTCAACTACGGAACGTGAGAAGCGCAACCGACAGTTTGCTGATGATGTAAAATGTGTAGTGACAAAGAATAATGTAAGAAATATTATTTTTATATGGTTTTGAAACTGTTCTCTTTTTAATGTGCATTACATGTATAGCTATGTTGAACTGTTTTTAATTTTATCTTGTTTGCACTTTTCGTCACAGGGAACAGAAGCTATTGAAGGATTGGCTCTGAAGTCACCATTATCAGTCGGATCTAGGTTGAAAATTTATGCTTTGCAGAAAAAACAGATATTGAGACTGCCGAACATTGACTCTTTACTACTGAGTAGAGACTATCCGAACCTTTCTAAGCAACTGAGATGGATCTTTCTTCTAGGGTTTCCTTTAAAATTTATTCATAAAAACTGTGATATGGAAGGTGTAATTGCGATTCATTTCAAATGCAGTAATCTTAGACGACTCTGGAACGAACCACCGGTATACATTACGTGCCTTTTTTCTTCTGAAACTCATAGGTTAATTAAATTAGAAATACTAGATTACATTTTTTGTTCTTCTTTAATCCTTTTCAAAACACCATCTTCTTGTAGGTTTTAGGGTGGCTAAAGTTCCTCAATCTAAGCCACTCCAAGTACTTGACAGAAACATCTGACTTTTCAGGACTACCAAGTCTTGAAAAGCTCATTCTCAAAGATTGTCCAAGTTTGTGCAAGGTACACCAATCCATAGGAGATCTCTGCAATCTACTACTCATGAATTTGAAGGACTGTATAAGTCTTAGCAATCTCCCCAAAGAGGTATATAAGTTGAAATCTTTAAAAACTCTCATCCTTTCTGGTTGTTCCAAGATTGAAATTTTGGAAGAAGATATAATGCAGATGGAATCCTTGATAACACTAATTGCTGAAAATAAAGCAGTGAAACAAGTGCCCTTCTCAATTGTAAGCTCAAAATGCATTGGATATATATCCTTACGTGGATTTGAAGGATTGTCACACAATATTTTTCCTTCTATCATTCGGTCTTGGATGTCACCAACAATGAATCCCCTATCTTATATTAGTCCGTTTTGCATGGATATGGAGAATAATAATTTGCCTGACCTTGTGCCATTGTTTAGCAACCTTGCAAATCTTCGAAGTATTTCTGTTCAATGTGACGCGGAGCTTCAACTATCTAAGCAAGTAAATACAATTCTTGTCGAATACAGAGTAAATTTTACAGAATTAAGGATTTCAAAGCATCACTTGAGGTTTTCTTTGATTGCTGTTGGACGATGCAATGAATTCTTCAACTCTCTCAATGATAGCATATATGAGGTTCCTTCTCTAGCTTTTACCTTTCTGTACTTAACTTCACCATTCATTTTATCTATTAAAAGAACATGGAAAGTATCTAAAAGGAATTGATAGTAGCATTGCTTCATTTTAAAGTATCTGATTTTAATAATCATGATTCTGTATATTCATGGTTGATAGATTCTGTTCGTAATTTGAAGAATAGAATAAAGGGAATTGTTGGTTAGGGAAGGGTGAGTTTAGGAGAAATGTTGAATAGATGGGAAATAGCAGAAGATTGACATGCAGAAAGTTTATAGAAAAGTTTAGAAGCTAGATTGATTTGATGGAACAACTCTTTTATTAGAATGAAGGCTACTGCTTCTATTCACGGTTTACTTTGTGTGGTGATTGTATTTAGGGTAGAACAACTGATTCATAACCTATTATATAATATAATAATGATTATAACATTACATTATTATATATTATGCAATAAATTGTGAACGGGTTATATGGTAAATAATCGATTATTTTAATATTTTCTTTATTTTATGACTTTTTTTATTACATATTTTAGAGGTCTAAAGAAAATTCCAGAATTATCATGGCATTTCTAGAGCAAAGTCGCCGTGAAAATTCGTAGCACTTTCAACATATTTCCATCGTTCATAATGGAAATATAAGTTGAAAGACCTGTAATACTTAGACAGACATGGATTCTGAATTGTTGATGATCTGCTATTGATATATATGCACAACAAGACTATTAACAATTTGGTTAAGTTTCATTAGAGTAGTTATTGTAATTTGATTAAAAAGCATAGAAATACAATTTAAAATGCCCATTTTGTAATTTGGAATGATATAATATGGATTGTATGTGATCATTTGAATAGCAAAATTACGTACATGCCTAAGCCTTTTTATGTCATGGGACAGGCATTCTCAAGGAGTGAATCTTGTGATGTTTGTCTGCCAGGTGACAACCACCCTTATTGGTTAGCCCATGTGGGTGAGGGAAATTCAATTTATTTCATTATGCCTCAGGACTGTGACGTAAAAGGAATGGCTTTGTGTGTTGTTTATTTGTCAACCCCTGAGAACATGGCAATCGAAGGTCTTACAAGTGTCTTAATTGTTAACTACACAAAGTGCACATTCCAGATACATAAGCATGGTACAGGAATTTCCTTCAATGATAAAGATTGGGAGGGCATAATATCATATTTAGGATCTGGAGACAAGGTGGAGATTTTTGTGACTCTTCCTCATGGATTGGTGGCTAAGAACACAGCTGTGTATATCTGATATATGGTGTACCAGTGAAACAAGTGATATATGGAGAAAACAAATGCCCTCCATTTATATATTCATAAAAATAATTTTAACGTGTGACTTCAAGTATGTTATAGCTCTTCTATAACAGAAAAGGATCGCTTGAGTGATGGAATTAAATCCTAGTGTCCGTGATTACTATGTATTCTTTCAATTGTGTCCTTGTTTTCTGCATAGTAGTAGTTTATATTAAGAAATTCATATTTATTCTACCTAATTTCTCCCTCCTCAGATTATGCCTTCTTTGATGTCCTTCATTTGTTTGTCATAATTCCTTTAGTTCTTACTTTTGTGATTTTTTCCCCTTCTTTTTAAATTATTAATATGTATATATCAAGCAATAAACACAATCGATTTTCCGTATTTTTCTTAAATGTGTTTCGCATTGTTGTTTATTATTTGGTTCAACGTAACATATGTGCTTTATTATTAGATCCTCTTCCCTTTATTTGATTTGAGTGCAATATATTTTAATATATTTTTGGTTATTCATGCTCACTCTCATTGTTTTTGTGTGTAACAATAATAATAAAATCATTTTTCTCATTATAATTTTTTAAAATGAATAAAATAGTCCATTTTTTAAACAATTAAAATTTATTTTAATATGATAAAACAAAACGTACCTAAAACTAATATACTAGTTTGGAAACATAAATTAGCTCGAGAAAAGAAAATTGATTAGAGTTTTTAGAAGTATTTTCCTAAATAGGTATCAACTTATTTTAAAAGTCGTCCTATTATAATTACATCAATTAATGAATATGTTATATGATATTATTAAAATATTAGATAACAATATATTTACAGATTATGTATTTTAAAATGACAACCTATATAGTGTTTGAAGGTAATGAAAATTTTCAAAGTAATTTCTCAATAATTTATAAAAAAAATTTAATAAACAAGTAGTGAATAAGATAGATAATAAATAAGTTATGAATAAATAAAGATATTTCGAATATATTGATTTATCCTAATCAAGGCTTAGGTTTAGTCTCATTTAAGAAAACTTAAAAGATTATATTATAATTAACCTGAATATATTATGTACAACAAGTTATTTCTAACTATAAGAGTATGTCAAATCACGTGGGATTAAATACACCATATTATTCTTAATTATTCATTTAATCTCCTTCAAAAACTAAAGATACTAATATTATTTTTTGTCATTCCTAACTATAAAAACGATTGATGAAGTAGTATAATTATTTAAAAAAATTCTATTATGATGATAATTAATAAACACTCATAATTAAAGAAATTTTTTTAAGAAAATAATCACTAAAAAGATAAAATAATATGTTATGTAATTTTATATTGTAATTGTTGTGTTTTGTTCATGGAGGTTCTTTTTTCATAAATTTCAAAATGTGATTTTAAAACTTTAGTTTTCAAGATTTCCTATTAAAAAAAAAATCTTCAATGATTTGATATTCTTTTATAATTTTCTTTTCGTAAAAGTCTCACTTTTGGTAACTACGATGAATGCTATTTCTTTGTTCAAAATACTTTTTATATAAAGTTTTGGTCTTCGTTTGATTTACATTATAGGGCAAGTAGCATATATTTATTTCCCTTTTTACATAGACATGGACACCAGATAAAAATATTTCCTTTCACATATCTTTAAAAAAAAAAATCTTGATTTACTTAGATATATTCTTCATCTTCATTGTAAACCATTTATATTTTATTGATTTCACATTCAAATTCGTTTCTTAGATAGCTTCGATTTTTTTCTCTCTCTGTGTATGACAAGTCTCAATTTTTGCTTATTTTTTTAGTGCATATAGTAAAATAATATATATTTTAATTCTAGAATAATATTTTGAATTTTGACGGTTCCACGTATATTTCTCCATATTACAAGATTTATTTTTCATGTATGTAAGTATGTAATCGATGTATATTGAAAAATCATTTATATTGAATGGTCAATGTAAGTGATGTGTAGTTGGTCAATATTTTATTAGAGGCATTATTAATCGTTAACTTGTTGCCTTGTAGTTAGTCAACACTTGAACTTGTTGTAATCATGATTCTTCATTGAAATAGGTTTCTTCAAACATCCTGTCAGAACACACACATGTGACACTTAGTTTGGTCTACCCTTATCAAACAATTTGATGACTTGTATAAGGTCATATAGAATCTTCATATATAAACTCTATATCCATGTTAAAGCATTTGTGGATGACATTGATTAGTTGGTCTAGCGTGGTGATGTGTCCATTAACTTGTCTTATGTTCATTAGATGATGTATTAGGTTATTGATTGACTAATTATTTTTACAATATATATTTTTTTTACATGCTTAACATATATAATTTATTTTAAAACTTAATCATATTTATTATCATCAAAATCAAGAATTTGATATTTATTTCCAACATATATAGTATAAGTGAATTAACTAGAGATCCAATGAACATTTTAATAAATTAAAAAGAAATTTTATTAATTAAAATTTTGCAAGATAGCTTAACCAAGGCCTCCAAAATGATTTTTCTACATTGTTATTACAAAATTTAGGAAAGAAAGATCACTTGTAACACATGAAATTCAAAATTACAACCTTACACGAAATCTTTTGATGTCATCATCGGGGTTGAAAACATCAAAATATGAGAACCATACTTCAAGTTTCACACCTTTCATTGTACTTGGAAACATGAGAACTATACTTCAAGTTTCAACCGTTTCTATCAACAATTGTCTTTGACACAAAACTTTCCAAACATAAAGTGAATTTTGTCAATTTTTTTATATATTTTCTATTTTTTTTCCTATTTTTTATAATTGTAATTGGATTTTATGACCCACTCTTAACATCATCTTCATGTTCCAGTTTCTTTTTCATCTTCTTTTTCTTTTTGTTGTGGGTTTATACTAACTCCAAATTTATACGGGGAAACATAATAAATAAATTTTATCCATATAAAAAAAGAAAATGAAATAAATCAAAGAGATGTGAAATTATATGTTAATTCTATAATTTGAAGATGTGAACATAGCTTTCCAAATTATTTTATAATGGACTATTAGCTAATGCAAGATATGGTCTAATCATAAATAGATCAAGTCACTTAAGGTGTTGTTTGATAGTTGTTAGAATTTTCTCTCTTGATAAGTGAACCGGATCAATTATAATAATATAACTATGAAAATGGTTATCTCTCCTCAGGAACTTGTCAGATATCATAAAAATTCAATTTTTATCCAATTAAAACTCTAAACATTGAAGTAATTATGTAAAACGGATTGATGATAAAAATAATTATTGTATAAGGAAAACACAATTATATAAATGGTTGAATTGGATTTCATTCAAACTCACTCTAGAACCTATTACTTATATAGATGCATGAATGCAAACCTCGGATTAAAGTCCAATAAAACACTCCAAATTGATTCCTTAATACTAGAGTTTTAAGAATATTAAACAATCAATCAATTCCTTAAAAAACTGATTAAAATCTTGCTAAAACACAAAAACTTTTATACAACAATAATCTCAACCCTGTTCTTAGCAGTTATAATATTAGAGATTGATTTGATTAAAGTCAAAAATAGAAAATAGTTTATTTCTAAAATGATGAAATTATATTCCTCTAAATTCAAGCATTAAAAATAGAATCAAATCAAGAACTAAACCAAAGAAGGGAATCCAAGCATTAAATTTCTATGTTACAATTCAATGTCCATTAGTTATCAATAATTTATGACATCCCATTTGTCAAAGAACAATAGGATACAAATGCAGTTTATCACACGAATAGGATAAAAAAAAAAAAATAATGAGTGTTCCAATTTCGAAGTAGCTTTCTCTGCTTGCAAGATAATATAACTCTCCAAGTGAGTGTTTTTCCCAATTATTTGTACTAGTCACTACAACTTAATTTTTTATTTCATTTTGAATTAAGTCATGTACAAATAATCAACGTGGATCACGATCGTCTTTGAAAGGTTGTAATTTAAAAAGGCTTTCAAGAAAAATTGTTTCTCTAGTTCACAAAGTACATCATAAAAAGAGAGAGCATTTTGTGTATTATTTCCATTTTTGTTACTATGAGACACTTTTCTCTTAATAACCTGCTTACCCTCGTCTGTAGTTTGCAATGTACTACAAAATAGTGATCCCTCCAATTTTTATTTCTTTCCTTTCTTTTTCTTTCTTTTTCTTTTTTTAAATTTATTCATTCATGTTTTGTAGTTTGCATTGACAATGAGTAATTTGCATTCACCACACACCTAATGTTCTCTCCTTTGATGTTAGGAAGGATTTATTTTCAATAGAGGCTATTAGGTTCAGGGGGGTTTTTTTTTATGTGGCTATCAACAAGTGTTGATTCTTGATGTAAGAGTTGACTATTTTGCTATAGGTTCAATTTAACTACACAAAAATTCCATTGATCATTTCCATGTTTTTTATGCTTAACGACAATAAAAAATTCACACAAAAACAAGATTCTCTTAGCTCCCCACTCAATTAGGTGTTTGGCTCTCACCCACTCTCTCAATTTTACTACCTTGGTTTTGGTATATTAATTGAAATTCTATCACATTTGTGCAAGTTTATTGAAAAATATTATTTTTGTTGAGAATAAAGGATGATTAATTTCTTTGCTAATTTCCTAACTTCCAAAATTTGTTTTCTAAACTTGCTAAAATGAAATTTGGTGTTCCTTCTAATTCTAACCAGGTTATTTGTTGTCCAATTTAAAAAAAATAATTCTTACAATTTACATCCTACAAACATAAAGTGTTAGATATAGTTAACAATACTAAATATAACTACAAGAGTATAGTTAAGGAAATATATTACATAACAAAAAGATTTAACATCAAAACAGGAACAAGGAAAATTAAAATAGACTAAAAATTAAACTACATAAATTGTAAAATTATGTAACTCAGTTGGAGAGTATCAGTCCCCTCCATCATCTTTCTCATCATCATATCTTCC